ATGAGGAAATTATGAAGGACAATAGGTTCGTATCAAACAGTAGACAGTACCAAAAATCACCCTTTGATAGATTTTAGTACATTAAAGAAAAATTGTTTCAGAACAAAACTTAAAAGGTGCAATGTGTAATGCCTGGCCATATGTTCCAAACCAACACATTCTTACTCCGACGTTTGTTCATTTGTTCATGGGCTTTCCATGTTCAGATATGACGTGAAAGGTACCCTGGGTGCATTGGTTGGTGACGTTCAGGGATGCTGTGTCAAGTTCTGCCTGTTGCATGCATTGTCTTCTTTCAAAATACACTCCTGTTTTCACAGGAAATTTAACGATAGCATACAGTCTCTATCAAAATAAGCACGCTGTATCAGTACAACACCGTGAATTGAGTTTTTGTTTTCCCTTCAACAAGAAACACGTGGCTACGTTTTGCCCACACACACGTGGTTGGGTTTGGGCAACAAAAGCACGTGGGTGGGTTTAGGAAAAAAGAACAGGGCTTGGCTGTACAGTCTTATGTCAAGCGAACACTTCCCTACGGGTGAAAGTCGATGGTTGTTGGATCCATCCACTAACTCTGACTTTCACTATCTTAACTTTTGCTCTTGTCCCCTGATGCCACTGCCGCCATTAAACTATAATGGCAACCGCCTGCATATCATGAAAGGTAGCCTTTTTTTTGTTGGTGTCCAAACTAGTCAGGCTGTTCTCATGCACTGCTCTTACATACTGTATAGCTACAAAAATAATGTATCACAGTTCATAAATAACCCATAATCATGAGGCAGTAATTCATATATAAACCATGTAATTGTGAAAACTGCAATCACATGCCTACTATGCTGAAGGGAGTAATTAAGGAAAGGTGGTGGATGGGTCAAACAACACAGGACTTTCCCCCAGGAGACCGGTGATTGTGTCCTGTGTAAAACCAAGTGAACTTTGAGTTAATACAAGGTGCGTCCATGTTTCTTTTCAAAACCTTACCTACATAACTTTACCTCCTTGATTCTAGCCTACATGACTTTACATTTGGCTCGTAACATCATTAATGGGGCACTAATTCATTAGCTATATGAACCATTGTATGTGCATTTTCACAGGATATCACACAGACTGTTGTATGAGAACATGTTGAACTAATGAGGGGGCAACATTTCACCCCCAAGCCAACTAGAGGAAGTTCTCTTAGCTTTTTCAGACTTATAGATTTACAAAATAAACTCACAAAATCTTAAGAAAGGAGATATTCCTACACCTACAGTGGTGGAAAAAAGTTTTCGGACACCCCATGCATTTGTGAAATATTGCATTAAGAATCACTCTTAGGTCTTCAAGTGCAATTTCTTTTAGTACAGTCACAGCCAAAATACTAAATAAATCCTAAAAAAGCCACTAAAAACTTAAAATTGATTGGTTCCATAAAAATACATAAGAAATTTTGAGTATTGGGTCATTTTGGTACCAGTGATGAAGGTCGTTCTTTTTATTAAAAGACACAATTTTTGTTGCCAAGCTTTGTGTCTACATAAAGCCAGCACATTTGAAAGTTCTTCAGACACAATAATGGCTAAAACAAGGAACCTAACGCAGGAAACACGCCTGAAGATAAAGATTCTCAGCCAGGAAGGGTACAGTTGCCGCCAGATAGCCAGGAAGTGCAGATGCAGTCCTTCAGCAGTTGGATACACTCTGCAGAAATACAGATGAACCAACAGCTTGGAAGACAAACCAAGATCTGGGCGTCCAAGGGTTTCTTCAGCAAGAAATGACCGCATCCTGATCCGCATGTGCAGGCAAAACCACCGAATAACATCACAGGAGCTTCAGCAGCAGTGGTCAAACCAAACTGGTGTCCAGTGTTCCACCCGCACTGTACGTGGCCGACTTTTAGATCATGGCTTAAGGTCCTACAAGGCTATCAAGAAGCCCCTGATCAATGAGAGACAGAGGTTAGCCCGGTGTCGTTGGGCCCAGGCACAGAAGAACTGGACAGCCAGGAATTGGAAGAAGATTTTGTGGTCAGATGAGTCCAGTTTCCAGCTTTATCTTCCTCCTACTAATGTGAGGGTACGCAGAAGGCCAGGCGAAGCATTATCTCCAGCATGTACAGTACCTACTGTCAAGCATGATGGAGGCAGTATCACGGTTTGGGGATGCATTAGTGCTGCTGGTGTTGGTCATCTCACTGTCTGTGATGGCACATTGAACTCTACCAAGTATTGTACCATTCTCGAAACCCACATGCTCCCTTCTGCGCGTGCACTGTTCCGTCGAGGTAAAAACTGGATGTTTCAACAAGATAATGCCCCTTGCCACACATCCAAGGCCAGTAGAACTTGGCTGCAGGAGCACAGTATCCAGGTCTTAGAGTGGCCAGCTCAATCCCCGGACATGAGCCCCATTGAAAATCTGTGGTGGATTATCAAAAGGTCTGTTTCAAAGCATAAACCAAAGAATTTAGAAGAATTAAAAGCAGTAATTCAAGAAGAATGGGACAAGATTACCCCTCAACAGTGTGAAAGGCTCGTGGGGAACATGCCAGCCAGGATTAGAGCTCTACTATGTGCCAATGGCAGGACTACTACATATTAATTTGATGATGTGATGGTTTATTTATTTTTTGTTCAGTTTTGAACACATTCTCTGTTATTTGTTGACTTTGATACCGACAATGTTGAGAACTGACATATTGAAACTGTCAAGAATTTACTTTTGTTAGTTTTTCTTGTAAACAATAAACAAAAAAATATAATTTGTATTTGTTTGTATCTGTCTAATGCAGCCACACCTTTTGAAACACAAAAAAGATTTTTCCACAAATATTTCATGATAATATTTGAGATTGTGTAAAATTTTAAGGGTGTCCGAAAACTTTTTTCCACCACTGTATTTTCCTTTATTAAACAGAAAAATACAACTGTACACCCTCTGATTTCAAGAACTAAGAGCTTAATTGCATTGTTAACTCATCTTTAAACATAATTCATTGAAGCTTGACAGAAACAAATAAACTCACCAAAAGCTTCTTGGTCAGTCTTTCCATTGTTCTGATGATTCCCAACTCTGGTTTGTGGGGGAAATGCTTTCTTTACTGTTTTTCCCTGTCAATCATTCTTCTGAAGCAGACAATTAAATTAGCAAAATAAAATGAAAACAATAAAGCCCAGAAAAACAACCAGCGACGAACTCAGCTAGTCACAGATAGCTGATATATTCGTCCAGCCGGCCATCCCTATTGACAAGCCCTTGGGGCAGGTCTACTTCTTTGTCCTCTCATGTTGGCCCGAGGGCAGACTGGACGCTACAGTGACTCACTGTGGCTTCTCGAGGTGCAAGTGGTATTAAAGACAGGATGAGCTGGGGCCAGCTGGTTAGCATGCTTATTTAAGTAGGTATTTTTTAAAACACAACACAAAGACATCTTTGACATGCCGTCGACCCTGTTACTCCTTCACATTCTGTTGACTGTGTTATTTTATGAATGTTTTTAGCTAAAATTCTTGCCATATCTTACACATTGGTCCTTTATGTCCTTCACCAACAATGCAACCTTCCTCTCTTTATCGTAAAGTAACGTTAGAATTAAAAACAACAACAACAATTTTCTATGGTTCTTCAATTACTGGTAGGGAATCAATTAAATCATCAAATTTGCATTAAAAAGTAACTTCCGGTGACCTGTACTGTTTAGCTGTCCACATACTTTTGGCCATGTAGACAAGGGCATAGGTTGTGTTTCAACACTGAGTGTGATACATATGAAATGGGAGGTTTGTGGGTCTTCCACCAGAAAATACTTAATTTCCTGCATTCATTTAATGGTGTAAATGTCTTTTGTCAAAATAAAAATCATCTGCTACTTTCTGAATATTGAGGGTGACGTGTCCCCTGTGTCTCCCCCGAAATCTACGCCTCTGCATGGAGTGTAGAACTGCAGGACATGTATTTAAGTCCCTGCAAACCCAGGTGTTGTCACTAATATGTTGATAAGATGTCTGCTCAGTGGAGCTATTCACTCACATTTTGAATCACAGGTGTTCCTTATCACATGAACGATCAGTCTGTTCTCTTCAAGTGTCCCAGTATGCCATGACAGTGTGAGAGTGAGCCGGTCCTCACAGCCCGAAGAAGCCTTGAGAAACTGAATAAATGAAATCTGTGTTATTAACTCCCCAGTATCTGAATGTGTTGGGATGACTGTATGCTTCAAATTGATTTTTTACAGTGCATATTAAGTCTCTGACCAAAATAAAACAGTGTACTGAGACTGTATCAGCTGCCGACAGCAGAGGGAGCCATCTACCTTCAAAATCCTTGAAGCCCAAAGTGATTGCTTTGTTACTGTTATACACCAATAACATCCCCATATGATTTACATATCTGAATTTCCATAAAGATGCTCTGAAATAAACTTCCTGTGATTGGAGCTGACATAATTATGCTACACAGTGAGCCTACCATCTGACACTAATTTCCTGAAGTGCATGTGACAGAGAGAAGTGGATGATTAATACCCAACAATGGCGTCATGTGTTTTTGTGCCCAAGCATCTACAGTAACATCATCATTGCACAATCATAAATACCGCAGTTATTTCAGCCACAGAGCCCCGAGGTTAGGATGACAAGTGGCAGACATGGATGACCCTGAGCTCATCCTCAGTAACTCTCTCCTTGCCCCCAGGCATTGAGTGCTAATGACCACCTGTACTGTGTTACAGTACTGCTTCTCTTAACCCATGGTGCACTTAGACCAGTCAAGTACACAGCACCTTTTCAATAAAAATCAGTCATATGGTATGTCTGCAGCTCCGAGGCATAGGTCAAGACTCAGACAAACAACATGCTGTTGATTAGTACGTCTTCTCTCAGTTACGTAACTATAGGCTACTGAGCTGTTGCACAAGAGGGGCAACATCTCTCTTGCTTCAGGTTTTCAGAGGATGGCAAGAGGTCACAAACTCATTGTGGGACTTATTTATCTGTGAAAGGCAGTCAATGTTCGCCAAGATAGGAGTAAAGTATACTAATGGAAAGGATAAAGCCAGGGTCAGATCTGACAGTTTAACCCTTTTGCTGTGTTTTAGATCCAGGAAACCCCAGGCAATTTATAACAGCTCAAAAATATAGGTAAAATTGTTTTATGATTATGAAACATGGGCATGATTTCAGACTAATGACATGTTTTAGATGATGTATCTGTCCAGTTTGGAAATAATGGTTAATTACAATGGATTTTAATAATGCTAAATATTTTTGATTGGAGATGACTCTACTTTTTACACAGGATGAAGTCACAACAAAAGTCTTTCTATTTCTCTCAGGGATTTAACTTTACTATTAGTAACTTTTGGAAAAACATTATATACTGTACAGTGACTGTTTGGAAATACTGAATATGTTCATGCCCATATTAACATCTACGAGACAAAAATTGTCTTTTTCAATGTAATGGCAATGCATAATGGTGATTTCTGTATTTTTTCACCTTTACCAGATGTGCAAGTTCAGTTGTGGTTACCAGAGGGGGAACCAAGTCAAGTTCCAAGTCCTAAACTCTAAATTTCAAGTCCTTAAAAAGTCATCAAACGAAATGCCAATATGAAATTTACAAAAATTTGCATTTACCTCTTACAGTAAGTTTGTTAAAAATTTCCTTAGCTGTTAAGGTACCATTACACATGCTATGTTAACATTAGCCTCCACTTACTGTTCTTTGTGTAGCTAGAAATGTCAAGCAGTCAGTTGTTGCGTCTTTGTGTGTAATTTTTGACCTACACATTTCACATACTGCGATTCATTTTTTTTGTTGACCACTGTGTAGTTTTTGTACGTGAATAAAATTGCCTTTGGTATAATTTTCTCCCCATCCAGTGCTGTATTGCTGTATTGTTGGATGCTGTATTGTTGACTTGCTAGGAATCAATAGCATTGATCTTAGTTGATTTAGGAAACAAAGGGGGATTAGTTGATTTGTGGCACATAATTGACATACTTCTTAATCTTTGGGCTTGAGGGGCAGGTATCAAGTATTTTCAAGTCAAAAAGCTCAAATCCAAGAGAAGTCACATGACACTGGTGTCCAAGTTGATTTTCAAGTCTTTTTTGATTTTGTTAAGTCTGGTCTAAAGTCATTAAATATGTGACTTGAGTCTGACTCAAGTCCAAATCATGTGACTTGAGTCTGCAGGTTACTACTTTAATACTTTAATGCATCATAGATTTAACAAAGACTTAAAAAAGTAAATTAAAGTCCTGTCTTTTTTTTCTCCTTTTAAATCTGGCCATTTATTTGGAGTACTGTGATAGCCTTTTTTTTTTTTTAAGTTTTCATCATTTTTTTTTTACACAGTTTTTGTCTCTGGTGTTTATTTCATTTTATTATTATTTTATTTTATTCTACTGAATTTAATGTTTGGAATATTTACATTTTATTCTATTCTGTTTAATTTTTTAGTCTTGCAAATTTTTTATTTTTTTCTATTT